TTTAAATTATGGATTGTTATGTTTTGTCTTTCATTTTCTGTCTGTACCACCCTTCCCTGATTTGAATTGTGAGCCGCCCTGAGTCCCCTTCGGGCGAAAAGGGCGGCATATAAATATAATAAAATCAAATCAAATCAAAATCAAAAAATCAATCAATTATTTCTCCAATGCCTTTCAGCAGATGCAACAGAACTGTAAAATTTGAAATAGTGAACATTACTGATTAATTCACTAGATTTCAGTTTTGAGATAATCAATTATTTCAGTTTGAAGTAGAAGGAAATGTATATAATGAAAATAAATTAAATTACTCCACAAATTCAGTTCAGTTTCCCAAGAAACAAAATAATGTCAATTAATAAGAATAACTCAAACCGACACAAACTTACCAAAGAATCAATCAATGTAGTAAGGCAATTATTTTGAAGCTCAGAAGATAAATTAGCAAAGTTCTTTTCTGACCAACACCTTGAAAAATTTTGTATCAGCCACCTGTTAAAGGAAATGTCTTATTTAAATAAATCCATCAAACAGATTTAATAAGAAATGTATCTCTATTAGCATAAGCAACCAATAGCAAGGTGCACTTACGTATTGCATCAAAATATAAATAGCTTTCAAAAATTGTACTCCTAGTTTAAGATTAAGCTGTGAAAATGGAAATCTGTCAAATATTTTATCTCACTTACTTCATGCATGAATCATAAAGGTGCTCTGATCTTGTTGAATAAGCTATAGCCAGACACTCTAAAACGGGTTGGTGCTTCCCAGGCACAGGCTACAATTGTTAGAATATAAGAGAAATTATTATCATTTAATATTTGCAGTAATTCATAAGCTAACATTTCCAACACAAAATTCATCGTTGCTGAAAGTATTCATTTATTAGACTTTTATCCCACCTTTATTACTTTAAAGGTAACTCAAAGTGATGAAGATGCCTAATACTTCTGCCTCCTGTTTCCCCACAACAAGTCTGTAAGGTGGGCGGGCTGAGAGATAGAGTAACTGGCCCAAAGGTCACCCACCAACTTTCATGCCTAAGGTGGGACTAGAACCTACAAACTCCTGGTTTTTAGGTCATCACCTTGACCACTACACCAAACTGACTTTCATGTATCATTCATATCTAGATTCTAATGGAGTCAACATTATGCAATTCCTTCTGCTGCTTCATCTAAAGCAGGGGTATCAAATTCAAGGCCCGGAGGCCAAATCTGGCCTTAAAAGAAGGCCGAAGTCAGCTGGCCAGTACACTGGAGCTGACAGGGCAATGCCTTGTGTGCCCTAACAAATGGCTCCATGTGCCACCTGTGGCACTCGTGCCATAGGTTCGCCATCCCGGTTGTAGAGGATTCTAATTCCCCGTGACCTGACAAATGCGCGCACGACAAAAGCGCGCCGATGAAACCGTGGCGCGAAAACTACGACATCATCAACGTGCCGACAACAGCGTGCCGACAACAGCGCGATTTAAGTTAAGGTAAGGGTTAGGTTCAGGGTTAGGTTTAGAGCGCGCTTCTGTTGGCGTGCTGCTGTCGCCGCGCTTCTGCGCTCATTCGTCAGCGCGATTTAGAACTCACAGTTTTGTCACCACGGTTTTGTCAGGCGCGCTTTTGTCGGGCGCGCATTTGTCGGGGAACCCTAATTCCCAACCACTAGTTTGAAGTTGGACAAATAACACTCACAAATGTTCCTTAAAATCCTAGCTGTCCCAGCAGACCTGTGGCTGTATGATTGCCATCTGACTGTTTGGCCTTCAACTTGAACTTATGATGGCTATAGCATCCTAAACTCCTTTGCGACTTCCCACAAGCAAAATTAATGGGAAAGCCAGCCAGAAGGATTTCAAGTTGCTCCAGTTAAGTCGCTTGCAAACTCACACAGCGGCAGCCACCCCCCAGCCTCCACAATGCTCACACTGTACCTATGCACCATCCATCCCGCTTGGCACAGGGCCAAGGTGGCGCAGTGGTTAAATGCAGCACTGCAGGCTACTGCTAGATCAGCAGTTCAGCGGTTCAAATCTCACCGGCTCAGGGTTGACTCAGCCTTCCATCCTTCCGAGGTGGGTAAAATGAGGACCCAGATTGTTGGGTAAAATGAGAACCCAGATTGTTGGGT